GGAGACTTTGTCATTCAGACTTTGTCTGCGCCTGCTCAGCCTAATGGCCTCAGTAATTACGGTGGTAAAACTGGGTCTTCTAATGATGAGGGACTTTCAAAGATGGGTCGCATCATTGAGTTTATGCCCCCGCCGCCATTTACATCGCAGAATGAAAGTATCTGCAACAGGTATGATGGCTCTGCATCCTTGGAGGGACCCAGTGGTTTTCAGCACTGGGGTTCAGATAGGAGCAGTAACATCCAGGGCCACCATCACAACAGATGCATCCCTGAGAGGATGGGGGCCCACGATGATGGGCAGGACAGTGAACGGTGTGTGGTCACAGACAATGTTACGCCTTCACATAAATGTGCTGGAACTGCAGGCAGTTTTCCTAGCTTTAAAGCATTTTCTGCCCCATTTAAAGGACCATCATGTCTTAGTGAAGACAGACAACTGGTGGTTGCTTACATCAACCGTCAGGGTGGGACATGATCCCAGCAGCTATTCATTCATTCAACCTTTATTTAGACAGGTAAATCCCATTGAGCCTCGAGGACTCATTTACAAGAGAGACCTGATTTCAACAAAGAATGACGACAACAATGGACAACAGCGACAACAATAAACAGTTATAAAAAGTCGTACAATATTATTTTATTTTTTTACAAATAGGATGGCTAAAAAAAGAAAAGTAATAAAAAACAGCTAGATTCAAAGGCGAATGCAGAAAACTAAAAACAGGAACATGTCTGCATTGGTCCCTGCCAGGAGTCCAACAGATTCTTAAAGCCACTTAGAGAGGTCAAGGTCGAGAGCTTCAAATCTTTTTGTAAGATATTCCAGAAAACAGGAGCCGAGTAGGAGAAGGCCCTTTTGCCTAGTTCAGTCCACACTGAGGGAACACTGCAGGTAATAATGTCCTGAGAGCACACACTGTAGCTGCACTCATGCAGAGACATGTAGGAGGAGATGTATGAAGGCAGCAGACCAAGAAGTGATGAAGGGTGCATTCACACTAGCCCTGGTTAGTCCACTTTAATCGAACTCTAGCTCGTTTTCCTTGAAAGTCCGGTTCGTTTAGGGAGGTGTGAACGCACCATCGAACTCTGTCATGGAACAAAAAGGCGAACTCTGGCCCGGGCTAAAACCTAGGTCTCGGTCTGGTAGAAACGAACTCCAGCGCGGTTCGAGTACAGTGTGAATGTAAACAGACCGAGCCCCGCGCCGCAGGGTAAACAAACACGCATTGCTCTTACCTTATATGGAGCCATCAGCTGCCTTGTGTAGAAAAACAATATTCTCCATGGTCTTCTGTCTCATCTTCTGCTCATGGTAAGTCCATTTTTAAAAAATGACAAAATATAACTCCTAAAACTGCTAAAACTTGATGCCACTTGGTTTTTATTTTTATTTACAGAAGAAGAAGAAGACGTGTCTTCAGAGGTTTTTGTGTCGTTTCTTTCAGTAGTTCTTGGTGCAGCGCCCCCTCAGGCGAGCAGGGGAACAGGTTGGTTCAACAGGTTGGCTCGACTGCACAGTGCAGTGTGAATGCAAACTCACCAGCTCAAATGTAAACAAAAGGTCATGAATATTGGTCCGGAACCGAACCGAGTCTACCGGACTATCTAGTGTGAAAACGATCTTAAAGATGAAAATGTACCAGTGGGAAAGTCTGCGTGAAGTTAATGATGTCCAGTTAACCAGTGAATACAGGGTGCAGTGGTGGGTACAACAATCACAGCCAGTTATGAACCTTAGTGCACCATGATAGACAGCATCCAACATCTATAGGGTTCTTGTAGGAAAGTTCATGTAAATAATGTCACTGTAATCAATGGAGGAAAGGAAGGTCACAGATCCAAGGCGTTTCCTAGCATTCAGAGTTAGACAGGATCTGTTTCTGAAAAAGAAACCCAGTTTAACTTTCAGTTTCTTTACCAAGTTTTCCACACAGACTACACAGAGCTACACAGACTGGTCCGAGAGTTAATCTTATGGAGTAGCACCAGACTCCTGTCAGTCCGGGCAACTCACGAGGCAGGGATCCTGAACAGAGGAGTCGATCTGTTGTCCAGGGGCAACCCTCTGTATGGAGAGTGGCAGCTCCACCCTCAGGTGGTGGAGCAGATCTGACAGAGATACGGCAGGGCCGCCGTAGATCTCTTCGCCTCATGGGAAAATACCCACTGCCCACTGTTTTTCTTCCTGTCAGATGCAGATGCTCCACTAGGGGTGGATGCTCTAGCTCACCCATGGCCAAACGTGCTGCTTTATGCATTCCCACCTCTCAGCCTGATTTCTCCCACATTGAACAGAGTGAGAGAACAGGGCCGGTCTTTAATTTTGGTGGCCCCATGGTGGCCATCCAAGCCCTGGGTGGCAGAAATTATTCACATGCTGTCAGGGGAACCGTGGCCTATTCCTTTTCACAGGGACCTTCTGTCCCAAGCTAGGAGAGAAATTTATCACCCCCACCAAGACCACATGGCTCTCTGGGCCTGGCCCGTGAAAGGCGGAATCTAAATCTAGCTGGTCTCCCCCCAGGGGTCATTAATACAATTCAGAATGCGAGGGCCCCCACTACACGTTATCTGTATAGTGGCAAATGGCAAGTTTTTGAAGAATGGTGTGGGGAGAGGCACATCTTTCCCTTCCAGTGCTCTCATGGATGTGCTCTATTTTTACAGAATCTACTGGAAAAGGGGAAGGCTTTTTCCGCTATCAAATTTATTTGGCAACTATTTCAGCTTGTCACATTGGTTTTTGGCGACAAATCCATTGGGCAGCATCTGTTAGTGTGTCGCTTCATGAAAGGGGCATGATGTAAGCTGCTAGTTATTGTACGTTAACATCTTCACCAACTTGTTTCAGGTTCTGCTCTCCATTTGCTTGTGCGTGACATGATGAGTCACACCTCCTGTTTTGAT